AAAAAGAAAAAGAAAAAGAAAAAGAGGAAAAAAAGAAAAAACAGGAAGAAGACAAATTAAAAAACAAAAAACATGGTGGGAGGAAGAGGAGGAGATGGATGGGGAAGGGTGCATGTTGATGTGGCACCGCGAGGGGTGTACACTTATGTGGCACAATGAGTGTTGTGCACATACAAAATTCCGATCGAGGTCGGAATGCATCGGGGTCGGAAATAGTTTTTTAATCAGAAAAAAAATATAAAAAAAAAAAACGAGAAAAAACACGTTGTGGTTTGCCACGTGACAACCGATGAATAAGAAAAAAATAAAGACGTGGCAAAAAAAAAAAAAAAAAAAAAAAAAACGTCGCTTTGTCACGTGACCACTTCACGAAGGAGGAAAAAACAAAGTGTGCAATACTTGCAACGTGGTAAACACCGCAGGAAATAAGGTCGGTGCGACGAGGAGGAGAAGGAGATCTATCGGGGAGGAGGAGGGGAAGGAGATGCATCCCGAGAGGTCCGGATGCAGGAAGATCAGGATCAGATGGCGGAAGATCGGGATCGGGATTAGGATTGGGATCGGAATAAGGAAAAACCCGATTGATTACGAAAGGGTACTCTCCCTCTCTCATTCTCTTCCTCTCACTCACACTCTCTCTTTCTCTCCCTCTCTTTCTCTCCCTCTCTTACTCTCTCTCTATCTCACTCACTCAATCAACCAGTTAATCAATCAATCAACTAAACAATCAATCAATCAACCTGTCAATCAGTCGATTCGATAACTTGATTGATTGGTTGATTGGTTGATTGATTTATTGATCAAAATCAATTGGGGAACTTTGGCCCGAGGATCTGCGTTAGGTTAATTGGGGAGGGTCGGCGCTAGGCTTGGAGGTTTCTAATTAGAATGAACAAGCGTAATTTAAAAAAAAAAAAAAGGAAGAAAAAAGAATGTCTGCTAGTTTGTCACGTGATAGTTGCGCGAATTACGACAAGAGGAGGAGGAGGAGGAAGAAGAAAAAGAAGAAGAGGAAGCAAACGAAGAAGAAGAATTAGAAAAAAGAAGTACGGTCGTTGCCACGTGGCAACCGCAATGAGGAGTAGGAAAGGTCCACTGGAAGGGGTTGGGG